ATAAAATATCAATCTTTGGACTGAAAAAAACTTTTACAAAACTTTAAAGAAAATTGATATAGGAGCTATAGAAATTAAATTTTAAAAGTTTTTACCAGAATAATGCATTTATGAAAAAAAAATTATAATATGATTAAAAGATGACATCTTCTTTTTTCTTTATAAGTTGCATTTTCTTTATTTATTAAAATATTTGTTTTTTAAATTAAGGCTACTTATGTAATATGCTGTAATTTCAAATTCTTGAGAACTATGAACATTTTTAGAAATGCTTTTTTATATACCTGATTATCATATGATCTGATTCAAACCGAAATTAATATAATAATTTTGTTTACGAATTACATACAGTCATTAACAAACCGTTGAAAATATAATATTGTAGTAGCTGTTCACAAAGGCCTAACATATTCTTTATCGATTAGCTAGAAATACAGAAAAAAGACGCCCCGAATATCATTACTGTAACACGACTTACCTATTATTGTTATAAGGGGCTTACATTCGGTTAAGCTCATACTTGAAGACAACAGAATAAAAATTTAATACACGTAAACATGACTTATGTAAAATGTAATACGTGCATTGAATCTCAAAGTAAATAAAAAGTTTTTCAAAACGGTATTCCCCAAATAGTATTAAGTAAGTGTATTGGCTAGCATTTTGGAACGCACATATATTTCAAATTCCATTTGTACTCAAACCTTGTTTTCTTAATGGTCCAGTTTTATTTATTATGATATCTTTTTTCGCAATAGTTTATCGACCTGTCGACTTATGATAAACACTTTATATTGTTGATCGAGGAAAATTAAAAAAAAAACTAAAAGAACACCGAGTCACCTCGACGCACTGATGTACTTTGGAAATAAGTTTGGCGAAATTTATATTCTTCAAAACAGCTAGTATTCAAAAAACGTTGTTGTTTAAAAATGTATACATAAATACTCTTTTTGTATTACATCTCCCCCCCCCCCTCTGATCTCTGCCAATGTTTACAATGAAGCGTTGGCTAATTTCGACAACAGGGTCGACGTAGATTTAAAGCAATATACACAACTTACATCAGATATTAATTAAGACATACTGATACTGCTGGCCGCTCTCCTTTCCCATCAACAAGATGCATGTGAATGTAATGTAAACTATTCAAATGTATTTAACTCTCGAACAGTACCTTTAAGTATTGCTCTTAATAAACGCATATACTTACGGTTGTTGTTTAACAGCCACGTCCAATGTATGCGTGGATCAAAGTGCGCTATTATACGCGAACAGCTAGTTTTATGGCCCTCCTTGAACTCATAAACTTCACCGGAGCAAATTTCATTGCACTCAAAATGCTATTATTAATAGTACAGTGTTTCGTCCCGGTTCACCTCCCATCAAATTTCATTTAATGGCGTTGTACAATACCATCATAAACGTTACTACTTTATTATTATTATTATTTTATTGCGTCTTTCGTCTACGCGGAGGTCTTCTAAAAACGAGGTTTTTCTTAAAGCGATAGGTCTTTTAATATATTCACATAAGTTTATCCAAGTAGTAAAGAAAGATTAATTTGAATTCAATAATTTACCAAATGATCGACTTCGAAATATTAGTCGAATAAACAATTTTAAGGCTATTCAGTCATGAACGAGTCTACAAATTTGAGCTGTTGAACTAATTCGTGATAAGTTCGGCTAGATGAGTAAACATGATTTTGTTTGTTTGCCAAAACAATATAATGTAGCTTTCCACAACGACAGCGATACCATCTGGACTTGACACATCAGGCTCATCAACAGCTTCAAAACTTGTATGTTATAGTATCTTGTAGTAGCTTCCATGCGGAGCTGAGAGGCTATATCGGTTTTACAATGTGTAATTTTATTTTTTAATTTGTACCTCCTGTAACTTTTTTAATACTGGAACAATTTCTTCGAATAGCAATTTTATTAATCACTAATTTTATCTAGTACCTCGGGAATGGGAGAGGGGGGCTTCTATACCTTTTAAATCAGGAAAAACAAAAAAACTATACAAATTTTCTGTTTAAAATTTTGACTAGCTATAGTTTTGAAAAAAATTGTCAAAACCCCCCCAATTGTCAATTGCCCCCCCCCCTCCTAAAGCTCCGTCCCCATTATGCCCCGACCCTACTGAACTGGCTTTTATTCACTTTAAAATATATATACTTTATAAGGTTGCTGCTGTCACTCCGGTTGTGACACATTTCATTTCTGGAGTATTTGAATTAATCATTTTTGGTTTTTCTACAGTTGGGCTGACCCTAATTAAATCATCACATAAAATAAATATTATTCGTAAAATCAATGATGATAATAGGCCTACGCCGTTCTCCTCCAGTCTTTTGCAGTACTTTTAGGGCGTAAAACAGCCAGGCCGGCTCGGCAACCGCCTATACTAACTGTATTGTTTAATATATACAATATTAAACATTGTTAATTACATTAACTGAGTATTGCCGTGTTGATGATGTTTTGAGCGCAATGAAATTGGGGAAAAGAAAGGACCCTTCTCCACTCGGTGAAATTCTCTCACCTTGCCACTCTAAAAGGTTTTAAAAAAAAGTTGTGGCAGCTGTTTGTTAACACACATGTACAACGTTAAATTCGTCCGCTGCTTTAAGTCGCAAACTGTATAAAATACTTTCGAAGGATTTCTTTGAAACTCTTTTCTTTACCTTCAACCGTGAACGGCTGCCAGCATACCTATATACCAGTAATCTATAAACATTTTTTCCCTTCCTTTTTCGAGTAAGCCGACTGCCTTTCGCTCCACGTTAATATTATAAGAGACACATGTGTGGTTATAATGCGAATTCACAACATATTGGAATTCATTGGAAGCCGCTTACGGAAAAATAACAAAAAATATGTTCGCGGTACGGTTGTTTTGATTGATTATAAATTCATCCAAATCGGATAACCGCAAGGTTTCTTAAAATATTTCAATACGTTGTTAGTTGTACAGAATAATTTCGTATAAAAGTAAACCGATAAATCTTCATTTCTAAGCACAGTCCTCAACAATCCATGTTCTACGAGTTACAAACAAAAATTTACTTGAAAATGAATTCACATACCTGTTATAATATATAGAGCTACTAACTCGGTAGCCTAATCCATTTTTTAGTGTTAGTTACCCAATAGTATTCCTTACTCTGTTGGCAATTATAACGAACGCCATACATATTTTATATTCGTTATAGAAACAATGTTCATTGTTTTTAAATGACTGCTCACAGCTATACGATATCATTAAAGCGGTTTCGAGTGTTTCATCTTATCACAACGCGTGTTAACCATACCGTTTACTTTGCCTTAAGCGTTATGTCGCACATGTATGACAGCCGACGTCCTACACTGCCATCGGCGTTTATGTCATAACCGTTTTTACAAGGTTCCTCGTTATTTCACGACACTTAGACTAAAGAAAAGAATACAATTTAAGCTATCGTCTTTGCTCAATTTAAGGCAAAAAAAAATAGGTAAATTACTTGCAAACGATTTTCGGATACATTCGTTTCGTTGACATCTTGTCTGATGTGCAACTTTACTCTTTTTTTTTGCCCTCGCTCCTGTGCTCAAGAGAGTACATCATTATTTTTGTTATATCATTACATTAGGTAAATACCCTGTTGATAAAATTATGTGAAGTTTCCCTCTTTTTTTTTTGAGAAAGAATCCATGACATTAACCCAGTGTAACGGAAAGCCTATTAAACAGCTTATCAAAAAGTTACAGTTTACTTAAAACTTAACGACTAAAATTATATAATATGGAACATGTTAAGTCTGCTAATAGTGACGACGACTCGTGATTATTTCAACTACCTCTAGTCTTACATGAAACACCACGTTAGGAAAGTATTATTGGTTATTGTTTTCTGTTTGTATATTTATATCTCTTGCGTATCTTTCTATTGCAAATATAATATTGGCACTCAAAGTTGAATAAAAACTACTAGATTAGAATTATTTCTATGAAAAGGAGCAAGACGAATTTCCATGTTGATAAGGCAGAAGTTTGTTGGCGCTCACTGTCACCGGTTCGACTATCAATCTGGTGGCTTAGTTTGTTGGCCAGACGACACTAATCACGCTGAACCAATAACTTAAGTGTGCACTCGATTAAATTTAACATTAAAAATTAATATTTGGTCATTAACATTTGTACTTAGCTCTAAAAATGTGTAAAATCGTGATATGCGTCGTTTATGCAAGTTTTTATTATAACCTTGAAAAGTCCGAGTAACCACAAGACGTGTAGAGAGATCCGGCTATAAAACTGAAAATAAGAGTTTATAAGGTAAGCTACAGTGTATTTCTGGGAAAACACAAGGCAGCGGATCCAGTAAATCGGCGAAAATTGCTTTTCGTGTAAGTTATACCTAATAGCTAATAAAATAATGAAAAATATGTACCTATATTACATTTTCTTTCGAGTCCTCGAGTATTTATATATTTTGATACCGCTGCTAGTATAGTTTCAAAACAACTCAATTCTCATAAAACGCTTCCTTGAGTGTATACTAAACTAAATATCGATCGAATTTTAACTAAAACAAGTATACTTATTGAAACGGAAGGTTTCGCTCAGTCATGGTCGTATGCTATAATGCGTTAAGTAGTATTTTCCATGAAAAGTTTCCTCTTGACCTCTGGATAAATCACTATCTACAATTCTGCAAGCTTCTGTGATGTTTCTATAATTAGAGCACATTAAATACATCAAAACTTATATTATCTAGAAATCTAGAATGCACATACGACGAGAATAGGAAGTTTCAAAAGCACTCCCCAGCCTTTGCAGAACGCGTCCCATTCGCCTGATACAATATTTTAGCTTTTTGTATTGCAAAAGTTATTAGTTCAATTGACCATTGTTCTCATTGTAAAAAATCCGAAAAGCTTGCCACCAAAAAACGATCATAGTACCAATAAAAAACCAAAACAAAATTTCATACATAATCGTTTGTATTTATACTAGGTTCAGTAAGTCAGTGAAGAGAAGTGATCAATCAGGGACCGACGATAAGAACGAGGGTAAATGGTGAGTCTTTATCAATGGTGAAGGTCTAGAGATCGATGATATCTATCTATGCTGATCATTCAAGGTGTTCGATTCAATCTTATAGATTGTACTTGTCACATCCACTGTATCCACTTTTAACGCTAATACTCGCAACGTTTCTACCACGCTCGCATATTTCTATAAATGTATAATCTAATAACTATCAACTATTAAAATTAACAATAAGATAATAACATACATAATATTCTTACTAACAGCGATTCACTCGTACTTATTACAACTGGATATTATTATAATTGCGCATCACACAGCAAGTTAACAGAGAAGATTTGCATGAGGTTTACGGACTAATTAATAACACCGGTTTGTCTTGCTGTGAAAACAAATAATAATATGTATTTTTGCTTTTCAAGTTTGCTCGTCACAGAACCTCGTACAGGTTTCGATAGTCATGTCGTTGTTATATTTATTAAGCAGCTGAACATAACATTCATACTTAGGTCATATAAAATGCATGCGCTGTACAAATAATTTGGCCAATAGTGAACTGCACGGTCCCGACAACATAGATAGCCGAAAATGATAAAAAGCAAGTATTTGGTTTTTCTAGTAAAAATATATTTCTTGAGCGACCATAAAGACACGAGAGACAATGAATCTCGAGAGCACGTTCTGCGGTTAGTCGTTTTAAATGATTATGAAAACGAGTTAGACATCATTGGGGTGGAATTCAAGCTAATATGATTACAAATATTCATTATTCACATACGCACGTTTTAAACTTATTTGACACACATACATGAGTATTTCAACGATATAGAGAACAATAATTATGCTGCATCCGATAAGATTTTTGCAATGCATTTACTCACCGGACGCTTAGCTAAAATAATTATCCGGTTCGATTGTCCGCTATGACTTATTCTATTAAATGTAAAATGATATACCTGGCTTTATAACGGTCCAGCTATATCATTAACTTTTATGAATTCCTGGTATGAAACTGACAGTCTTTTTTCATACTATTCATTATATTATTATTATGCAAGTTTATTAAATTCATGTCCTTGAATTAACACAGCACTTCACAGCCACCGCTGTCATTACTTTAATTATTTTCGGTGGGAGATTGTGGATACTGGACCATTTTTAATTATATGAATCATAACAAATAATATAGCTACCCGTGACAGCTGATCAGCTGCGACTTCAGTGGGCAGTGGCCCGAGGAAAAATAAAGAATAATAGGTAAGTATTAATTTAACTGTTGTTTATAGAATAATAATATACATTATACAACTCCCGACAGTGACACCAAAAATTATTTATTGTTCATTAAAATTTACTATCTGCAACTCAAAATACTATTTAAATGCTTTAACTACTTGGCATATGTAGCCAAACAGTTCATAAAAAAAAATCCGTTAAGAACTCTATAAAAATATGTTAAATATTAATACACAAAAATAACAAAGAATACAAACAAGTGATGCATAATAAATACTAATTAGATAAAACCTAAATTTAATAGAATATTATTTATAATTAACAATTATTAATATAAATAAAGTGTGTCATTTCAGTTTTCCATAAAATCATAGAAAACATATTTTTTCTTTGTAAAAACTGGCATGGTGTTAAACAAATTTGTACACATCTATTACAGGGTCCTATTTAGAAGACTTTTAGTCATTATTTATGTACACATGTTTATTATTCTTTCCTATTCTTCTAACATTTTTTTTTTTTTGTAATGGGGTTAGTATTAGACAAGGAACTGCCTAAATCCGTTGGAAAACAATTTGTATTAATCATTTATACAAGGTTAGGTCATTTTGCCGTTTCGATTATTGTAAATTGAAGGTTTCCGGAAAATATCATAATAAAGAGTTTAATGTTATTATATTAGACTCGTTGAAATCTGAAATTCAGTTAGATTATATATTTCAAGAACTGTCGAAACCCATATTATTTAGTACTAATGGCATTTTCAATGTACAAAAAAACTAAAGCTGCCGATTGACGAGCACTTTCCTAGTCGGATCGGACGTGACACGTACAAATGAAATTTCTATGTAAATGGCATCGACTGACGACACGGCCCTCGTTGACACAATGTATTGGATTTATATCAATATGTACCTGTGTTATTACCGTCGATTCGTTCTATACTTAACGCCATTCACGTACTCACGGTTGAAATGAAACGGTTATGTTTCTCCCATGCCGATATTTCCATTTATACAAAACGGCTAAACCCGTCCGGTAGATTTATCGTAGCACATTCCCTTCAGTCATACATTTTGGATTAAAATATGGTGTACATAATATTGTTATGATTTATGCTTAGCCCGAACAACTTTATAATTTATTGTGTTTACGTGTAAACAATAAACATTGTCGGTCGCGTGACATGATGCGAAAGGTTGATTTGACTTTAGGAATGGTTAATGTCCAAATACTACTCTTCTGGTAAATAAAGTTTTCAGTAAGTTTTTAACAATACTATTATTCAACCGAAATTATATTCTTTTTCAAGCGTATTTTAAATTCTTTACACAGTGTGAGTTTACCTTGAGTTTAATAGACCAATTTCAATGATTAGCTAAAATGAGTTAGGCAACTTATTGTATTCGCCCGATTAACCTTTAAAAACAAAATCATATCTCTGAATTTTTTATTGGAAATAAATATGCTTGTTGACTGTCAACTTAGACCCAATAGAAACTAAATACTAAATTATTTAAAAGCATTTGACTAATACTTAAAAAACATAATACTGAAACAATACAAATAGTGTAATAGTTCTCTACAAAGATCTACACTCATTTCATTCTAAATTGTTTTAAGAAATACCTAGTGGCTAGTAGACGTGACTGGATGAAAGGGTGTGAAGTGACGGGAGCTTATGTGAGTAAGGAATACTGGCTAGCCTAAAGGAAGTTCTCATATTATAAAGATTGTAAGGCCGGTCATGATATACGATTCAAAATGTCGGGATAAGAAATTGGAATGTAGAGATGGATGTGTAGAGTAACTTGAATGGAAAAATAAAAACAAGTTTATGTGTAACCCCTGTCATAGAACAAATGAAATGAGAGTTAGTTTAGGCGTTTAATAAAAATGAATCAAAAAGAAAAAGGACAGAATTTATACCTTTCCGGCCTTGACTTTTAAATAAATAGAGGACGGCCGAAAAATATGGTTAGACAAAATTGAGATTGATATGGTATAGCCAATATACACGTGAAAGATGTGACAGATCGCGTTAAGTGAAATTTGTGAAACAAAATAGTAGGAGATGAGGAGAGAATAAAGACATAAATAGTTTTCAAACTCATTTTTCACAACAATGAAAATACAATGACGAAAATCAACACTTACCATCAGATAACAAAAAACATCTAACAGAAATACTGTAGTTCACCTTTGCTCTTTTAAAATCCAAACTTTATACAGAGAAACTTCTATTAATGGAAAACTTACGGGGTTGAAAATTGTCTATTGTATTGCTATCAATTGCATTAAAGTCAAAACTATTCCTAGACCATTTCAGGGATTCGTCAGTTAATAACAGGGTTATGCCTAATCGTTAGTTCAGTAATTACTCAAACGTTTCAATCTCCAAAGTTCTGCTTTTTTTTTGCCTCTTCCATTCGTTTAGCATTCAAATAAGGTTTACAAAATGTTCCACTTTAAATTACTACTATTCCATGCTACTGTCCTTTGATGTCACAACTATTTCCTATATGTGTCTTTATTAAAGACAATAATAAATATAGAAATAGAACGTATCTTATTACTATTTATTTATTTTACTAAAAACACTAATAATTGTATTCGGTCGTTTTTTTTTACGTTTTTACTATGGACCATTTTATTAAAGAGCTAAAATAACCTTCTAAAAAATATATCATATAAGGACAAAACCCATCTATTACTGTATAAGATGCGTAAACATAAATTGTATTGGGTAATAATATGTTAAATAGTTTAAAATTATTATTTATTGGTAGGTATCTGTTCAGCAGCAAACACTGTAGTATAAGATAAATATAGGAAAACCTATTAGAAAAAAGCCTACCGGGATTTACATACCGGTATCCCGGTGTTCCTATCCACTGAAGCTTAAATGTATTATTTAAAACATTATAGTACTTATTATATAAATGATTTTTTTCCTAGTATTTGATGTATAACATCGTGTAATTATCACAAACATAATTTTAACAAGCTCAGTAAACTGTTAAATAGACACTATACATTATATTTTTTAGCTTTAATGTTTTGGGGAGAAGTATTTAAAAAAAACAAATAATGTTTTCGTATAAAAAAATAAAGACTATAATATATAATGTAATTTTTGTTACACGACATAATATACACGGTCATTCAAATTTCATGTTAAGGTAACTTTCTCAACTAATTATATTAAATAAAAAGGTTAAAAAAAATCGGTATTATATTAAATTATCAAAGCTTGTATTTAATATATAAGTAAAACTATTTTTTTTTTAAAAAAAAAGGTTGTTTTATTGGGAAACTGTAAATGTCAAATAGCAACCTACATATTTTAATTATCTATTAAACGCAGCATGATGTATTAAAAATAATGCTTGGTCCATAACCAATTTTAAATAAATACTATTTTAGTTTCTAGCATCTTAAGTTTAGATGAGAAAGAATAAATAACATGTAACCTTCAACATATGTCTTTAAATGGTAAATAACTTAAAAAGTATTTAACCAAACTAGTTATCAGTCAGTCATTATTTCCATTATATTATTCTACCTTTATTAGGCTAATCAAATATTAATGTTTTCATAAGACTTTTAATAGGTTTAATTAGCATTTAAAATAAAATGTTTGACTTGAACATTAAAAACTATTTTAACCATAAAATGCTAAAACCATTATTTTATAAATACAATTCCTGTATGATGAAATTTGGATTATTATATAAAAATTTTAAAAATAATGTAAGAATTTACAATCGATAGTTAATATAAAAAAGAGG